GCTTGGTCCCAAGTTGGACAAGCGAGGCAAAAAAGAAAAAAGCCCGACGCAAGGACTACATAGTGTCCTCAGGGGGAGTCGAACCTTCGCTGCCCACTTCGCAACTGTTACGGAGTTCCAAGGTAGTACATGATCGACGAGGACTTGCTATGTTTGGAAGGTACCTCAGTAAATCCGCCTACTCCCAAGCTATACAAGTTCCCAGTGAGCCTCGAAGATCAGGCTCAGGGGGCAAAGAAGAAAAAAGCTCCATGCAAGGATTAGCGCCGGATGGAATCGAACCCCCGCTGCCCACTAGAACTAGTGGCGAGAGCTGATGCTTGAACTCGGGTGGGTGATCACCATAATCGACGGGGGCTTATTATCTCCTGAACGAAACCCGTCTGCTCAAATTCAACTTCTCACTCACCCATCTGAGCCTCCTTTGGTGTCTCTTCCGAGCGTATTAGCAGATTAGCTCCATTAAGCAGTTCTCCGTAAATGCAACCAAGCTCATGGAATCGGTTTTTTTTTTTCTAAAGGGGCTGACTGCGCACGAGCGGCGCATTCGCAGCGAATACGAAACTCTCACCTCGCTCCCCTCGCTCGAGGAAGAGATACTCAGTGTTTGGCTCTCGCTCTTGGAACTCGAAAAAGAGCGGCGCATTCCCAGCGAATATGCGGCGACCTTGCAAGGCGTCGTTTCTCCCATTCGCCGTATTACATCTGAAATCCTCACCGGAATTTTCCTCTTGTGTCGAAATGGCACGTTCTTCAGTGCGGATCCGCGGTGGGTGCCGATGCTTCTCGGTCACGTCTCATCCCGTTGGCATCAGGTCTTGCGTGCTAATCAGGTATAATATTTCAAGAGGACAGCCAGCCGAGTCCACTAAACTCGTGACCGCTCCACTCGTCGACAGTTCGCATTCACGACCCTGATCGGGCAGCACCGTGCGGGGCCCCATGTCCTTTGCGACAGACTCAGGCCCTGGACGAAGGAGACGGACGTCCAAGATATTATCGTGTCCGCGGACCACATATCCCGCATAAGAGATGGTGTTCCTGTTAGGAAACTCCCTGGTGGGAAGCGCAGAAGGTACGTGGAACGCAGCTAAATAAACCCGTCTCCTTCGGGGTAAGATCAGCGAGTGAGGCAAAAAAAAAAAAAAAGGTCAAGGCCATCGCATTAGTGCCCTCGGGGAGTCGAACCCCCGCTGCCCACTTCCACAGTAGAGTACGACCGAACACTCGTGGGTAATCACCGTGATCAGCGAGGGCTTTCTACACCTCGAAGTTGGTTGGATAAATTTACCTGCTTTCTTGAAGTTCCCAAGTCAGCGGCCCTCCCCTCCGCCGCGATTGAATTGAACAGGCGAACTCCATTTACCAACTTGAACGCCTCTGCCAAGAAATCCAATCAAACGACGCATCTAGCTGAGTCCCAGCAAGCGAGGCAAAGAAGAAAAAATCTCAGCAGCATGACCTAGTGCCCTCGGGTGGAGTCGAACCCCCGCTGCCCACTTCCACAGGTAGTCTATGAGACTAAATCTGTGATTGGTGATCGCCGTGATCAACGAGGGGCTTACTATGCCTTGAACGGAGCTGAATAAGCCCGCCTGTTTTTGAACTCAAACTCCCAACCCAGTCTCGAGGGTTTTCCATACCTCGGAGGCAGTTACTCCGACTATCGATACTTATATTTCCCTTTGGCATCAACGTGTGAGCTCCCCGGCCGTAAAACCCAGCCAAGCTGCGACTCTGGTAAGATCAGCGAGCAAGGCAAAGAAGAAAAAAAGCTTTGTGCAAGGATGAGTGCCCTCGGGGGGAGTCGACCCCCCGGTCCCCACTTGCAGGCGACAATGCTCCAGGTTCACTCTCGTGGGTGATCACCATGATCAACGAGGGCTTGGTATGCCCTAGAGCTAGCTGAATAAATCTGCCTGCTTCCAGCTTCCAATTCGGCTGTGTCCTGCCTTTCCGACTGTATTTGTGATGTCCATTGATTCAAGAGCCTCGTAAAATGTCAATGCAGCCAAGCTAAGCATACGTATAGAGATCAGCCAGTGAAGAAAAAAATCGCAGCAACAATCTTGCTGCCCTCGGAGGGAGTCGAACCAGCGCCCACTTCCACATCGGGTTTTAGCAATTTTTTCTTTCGTGGGTGATCGCCATGATCGACGAGGGCTTTCTATACCTCGAAGGTGGTTAAACAAATTTGCCTCTTTCCTTCCGATTACATTAGTGCGAACTCCGTTGATTGAGGAGAGCTCGGTAAGACGCGACTAAGCTGCGGATCTGGCTTGGTCCCAGGAAGCGAGGCAAAGAAGAAAAATCTCAACACCATCGGGCTAATGCCCTCGGCGGGAGTCGAACCACCGCTGCCCACTTCGCAGTGTGAACTTTGTCTTAAAGTGTGCATAGATGATCCCCATGCTCAACGACTTCCTGTACTTCGAAAACGGGGTGATAACATAGAGTAAAACCAAAGTAAAACCATATGTTTTCAACTTCCAACTCAGCGGCCCCACCAACGAATAAATAACCAGGCAAGCTCCATTAAAGATCAACTTAAACTGTAGCGGGAGCCTCCGCCGGAAACGCAACCAAGCTATGACTCTGGGTCAGATGAAAAGGTGAGGTAGAAAAAACACTTCACTCTTGGATCTTAGTGCCCTCGGAGGGAATCGAACCCGCGCTACCCACAAGTACTTGGGACATTAATGTTTTAACTATGGTGGGCGATCACCATGCTTCCTATACTTGAATCTAGCTGGATAAATTCACCTGCTTTTATTCGCCTTCAAGCTAAACCAACTCAACCTATTTCCCATTGGAGTTGCCCGCAGGTGGTCTTCGAGAGCGTCCGTTTGGACGAATCAGGATCCTGTAAATTCAGCGAGGCAAAAAGGGAAAACTCGCCACATTAAGTGCCCTCGGAACCCCCGCTTCCCACTAGAACTTGACAAGCTTGAAGATCCTGTTTTAACTCTGGTGGGTGATCGCCGCGATCAACGATGGCTTTCTATACCTCGGAGGTAGATGGATAAATTTGTCTCTTTCCTTCCGATTGCATCAGTGCGAACCCCGTCGCTCAACGAGAGCTCCGTAAAATGCGACTAAGCTGCAGATCTGGCTTGGTCCCAACAAACAAGGGCAAAGAAGAAAAAATTCAGCGCCATCGGGCTAGTGCCCTTGGAGGGAATTGAACCCCCGCTGCCCATGGGCACTTGACGATGGTGAGGTGGCAACTTGGGTGGGTGATCACCATGATCGACGAGGGCTTTCTATACCTCAAAGGCAACTGAATAGATGTGCTTGGATTCGAGCTGTAAGTCCAACTCTGCATTCTGCGTGCGTCCCTCCCGCTGGTGAGCCCCGAGGGTTCCTTGGAACATACAACATACTTACGAGTAAGCTACGAATCTGGTAAGATCAGCGAGCGAGGCAAAAAAAAAGACAAAAGGCTTCACCATTCCTCCAGTGCCCTCGGAGGGAGTCGAACCCCCGCTGCCCACTAGAACTTGGCGAGGGCTGATGCTTGAACTCGGGTGGGTGATCGCCATGATCGACGAGGGCTTATTATCTCCTGAACGTACCTAAATGAGCCCGTCTGCTCAAGTTCAACTTCTCACTCAACCAACTGAGCCTCCCTTGGAGTCTCTTCCGAGCGTAATAGCAGGTGAGCTATTGCGGACCCGCGGTGTATGCCGACGCTTCTCGGCCACGTCTGATCCCGTTGGCGTCAGGTCTCGCGTAGTAATCAGGTATATTATTGCACGAAGACAGCCAAGTTCATTAAACTCGTAACCGCGCCACTCGTCGTCGATAGCTCGCATTCCGACCCTGCTCGTGCAGCACCGTGCGGGGCCCCGTGTCCTTTGCGACCCAGGCCCTGGACGAAGGAGACGGACGTCCAAGATATTATCGTGTCCGCAGACCACATATCCCGCGTAAGAGATGGTGTTCCTATTGGGAAACTCTCTGGTGGGAAGCACAGAAGTACTGGGAACCGCCGACGCGCGAGTGATGTGCAGATCGCGGCCGTCGGGCGACCCCGGAGCGGACTGGTGGAGATGGGAGGGAGGGAGCGAGTGAGGAAGGCAACAAGAAGGAACGCACCTCCGCATGCATATCCACCAACGCCGCGTCCACGTGTGCGCGCTTCCGTGCTTCCAACCCCTCCTTCGTGTCCGCCTCATCTCCATCAGCGGGGGCGTTCGCCGCGCGCCGTTTCCGGCCGGAGACCTCGTCCGCGAGGCGCTGCGCGCGCTCGGCGGGGGTCTCCGTCCACAGGGAGAGCTCGGAGGAGGAGCGCCTCCGCTTCTCCTCCTTCGCGATGAGCTCTGCACCGCATCGGCAGCGCACCGGCGCCTGCGGGGAGCGGGCGGGTCCGACATCGTCGTCGTCCGAGTCTGCGTCGTACCGCGCGCGCGTTTGCGAGGGCGGGTAGCCAGAGCCGGGGGGCATCGTGGGGCCTGCAACGGGCTTCCGCGGCGCCGGAGATTTGGAAGAGGAGGTGGAGGTGAAGGCGGAGGCGGAGGCGGAGGGTGTCGGGCGGCAGCGCCGGCGCGTAGTCCTCATCGTCGTCCTCCTCTTCGTCAGCGGCTGCGGCCTGAGGCGGGAGCTGCGGCCCAGCGACAGCGACGCTCGGGCCCTCCTCTTCGTCGTCGTCTTCGTCGGCGATGTCGCGGAGGAGGTGCGGCGGGGCGCGGGGCCGATGGCGGACATGAGTTGGTGAGGGGAGGAGGAGAGGGTTGGTTGTGTTTTGGCTGGAGCCGGATCATGCCGGCAAGCGGCACCAGCGTTGAGCGAACGCCTCAGCAGCATGCTAGATCTCACAGGCATAATTATGAGCTCTACTGGCAGAGCTACCGAGGTGAAGCGTTGGTTGAACAGCCTAAGAAAAGCACTGCATTTTCATGGCATTGTGGCATTTTCAAAGGTTTGGGCCTCGTTGCGCTAATTCCTGAAATCCGACGTACCTTAGCTATCTTAAATCTTAGCTGAGCAGAGAAAGAAAAGGTCTGGTGGTGTAGTGGTTAATCGCACCTACTCTACATTGTTTGGGTCCCAAGCTGTTTAGTAGGAGTCTCTCGTTCGATTCGAGGCCAGGCCGTGGCCCTTCTATAATGTCTTTTTCTTTTTTCTTTACATAAGTAACATAACTGATCTATCAGACTCGGCATTAAAGCTCATGATAAACGCGCATCTCGTGTAGGTGGCGTTGCACATTTTAACATCACATTTTTCAGCCTGAAGTTTTTTTGTTCCTCGTTGGCAGTGCCCTGATTCCTGCGCATAATATCATATCACAGCTAAGCAGAGGGGGAAGGAAAGGTCTGGTGGTGTAGTGGTAACACCTCTGCTTTACACGCTGTGAATAGAGTGTAATTCAGCAGGAGTTTCTCGTTCGATTCGGGGCCAGGCCGCTGCCTTTTTTTCACTACTCATCGTCCAATCTCAATCGATAAAAGCACGAATTCTCTCCTGTATTAGGTGTTGTTGCTTAGAAATCCTACATTGTAGCATTCAAGTTATCCGCTTGAAGTATTTTTCGTTCCTCGGTGGCAGTGCGGCGCTGATTTCTGACTATTGTATTATAATCATAGGTAAGCAGAGAAGGAAAGGGAAGGCTTGGTGGTGTAGTGGTTAACACATCTGCTGTACATTCTCAGGCTCATCCATTGTTTAGCAGGTGTCCCTCGTTCGATTCGAGGCCAGGCCATTGTTCCTTTTTTGGTCTTTTTGGTCTGTGATCGATATTTCAGGTTCATTAAATCTCAACTGATAACCCGATTTATCTCAGGGGTATTGCATTTTCAGCTTGACGTATTTTCGTGCTGCTTGAGTATCATATCATAGGTAAGAAAAGGAGGGACAGGCCTGGTGGTTTAGTGGTTGACATGTCTGCTTTACATCTGAGAACAATAATAAGATGCTTCAGCAGGAATCCTTGGTTCGATTTCTTGCACGAAGTTCGATGAACGTCGCTCACATAGTTCGGGGTCCACGCGTGGATCCGGACTTTAAAAAAAATCATCCGCACGCACGAAACGGCTGCGTTGGCTGTGCTTGGAGCTGAAATCAGCGTCCGAATCGTTCTAGGGCGGCATCGATCGAGGCGGCATCATGGTCGTGTTTTGTTCGGGGGTAGTGGGATCATGTCTGGCCGGGCGGCGGCACGGACGTGGGCGTTGATCATAAACGAAGGCAGGGGGCGACTTATCTATGTAATCTTGGCCATTGTTCTGGAGCTCGCAGGTCCACAGTTTTGAGATTGGGTGAAGCGTCGACAGTGGACAAGATGATACATACATTTTTTTGCAATGTATTTTTCTGATTTCAAGTTGAAGCTTTTTTGTTCCCGCAGTACGCTGATTCCTGAGTATGACATCGTAGGTTAGCAGAGGGGGAAAAGGTCTGGCGGCGTAGTGGTTAACGCGTTTTGCTTTACGTACGGTTGGTACTACAAAGTTTAGCAGGAGTCCCTCGTTCGATTCGAGGTCAGGCCATCCACTTATCATGTTGGTCTTTTTTTTGCCCGGGGTGGACGGAAAGTCGAAATGGGCAGCTCATACCATGTGACACTGAGAGGGCTCAAAAATTCCAGTACCCGGAGTATGTATCTCAGACTCGAAGTTCGACAAAAAATTGCCTCCGGGTTCCAGAGGCACTACCTTTTGAACCGCGGGGCTTACGTGGAGTATCATACGCATCTATTATAGATATGTGTTCCCTCTGTCACTACAGGGTTATCTACAGTAAATTTGATCCCTCGGATTTTCTTCCACCGCGAGGCGCTCTCAACACGCCCTTTCCCAACCTTTTCTCCGCCTCCACTCGAAATACTTTTCCGGTTCACACAGCACTTCGTCTCTCAGCTTCCACTATGGACCCCGGAATGGTGGAATGAATCGCCAAGCAAACGATAGATCCTAGATTCATGTTGATAAGGTGCAACTGAGCAGAAATGTACCTCGTCTGGTGCTCTTAAATCCGCACACGGCCGCCAGGGGATCAACGTTGTGCGAGGTTGAACTCGTTTTGGAGAGGGAGAGAACCGCACTATCAAAGCTGGAATTTTAGTTTCATTCATTTGGCATCACTGAGTTCCGCCCCAATAGTGACTGCACAATTCTGTCGTGAGATTGATTTTTAAGTTGAAAAGCAATTGAAAACCCCCGGATCAACTCGGAGTGCCAGGTTCCGATGGCCGCATCAGATTTGTGACGCTCGTGACACCGCAACGGTTCCTCGGCTTGTCCTCTGCCACTCAATCCGATTCCGCAGCACGACGCTCGCGCGTCCTATCCCTCATACTTGGTGGTGCATGGCTGCCTCCTATTTTCTCGATATTCTGACGGCGATCCTGATAGACACCGATGGATCCGATTCTTGCAACGCTCGTTCAAAGTAACGAACCTCTCAGCGAGCAGCAAGCTCTTCATGTCCGGCAAACTCTCGACGAAAATCTCTCTTCGCTCTCCGGTCTTAAAGAAGAGATCCCCAGGGTTTTGCTCTCCCTCTTGAAACTCGAAAAGGAGCGGCGCATTCGAAGCGAAAATGCGGCCACTCTTAAGGGCGTCCTTTCTCCCATTCGCCGTATTCCATCTGAAATCCTCGCCGAAATCTTCCTCCTGGGTCGAAGTGGCACGTTCTCCAGTGCGGACCCGCGGTCGGTGCCAATGCTTCTCGGTCACGTATCATCCCGTTGGCGTCAGGTCTCGCGTAGCAGCCCGAGACTGTGGGACCATCTCCATATCTCCCCGAACTCGGGTCGTCGGTATCCTCCAGAAGATATTTTGCGTTCGATGTTGGCCAGTTCTTGTATTCTCCCTCTCCACGTCCATCTCCGGATGAGCGGCCCCGTTTCGACCACGGGGCTTGCGGCCGAGGATGTCCTCGATCTGCTCTTTCAACAGCATCACAGATTGAAGGCTGTTCATCTAGAGCTAACTTCCATCAATCTCCCTCCTCGCACTTTCAATAAACGATCCCTCCCGATCCTCTCCTTAATTCGAATCATGGCGAATGAAGACGTCGATATCGCTTACCTCCTTACCCCATTCAATGACGCACCTCAACTGCGATCTGTATACCTCTATGCTCCTGACACCCCAATGGATTCTCTAATGTTTACGCCCGAGTGGTCCCAGTTAACGCGATTGGTATTATGCACTCGTATCGGCCTCCGTGATGCGCGGGATATTCTGATCCAATCCGAGATGATACAGGAATGTCAGCTCATTGAAGTGATCGCGTCCGACGACTTCGCGCCATCCCAGAATGTGCATAGGCTTAACCATCTGCAGAACCTCACCATTTTCATCGAGCATGATCTTCTTCCTGGAACATTCTTCGACGCGTTCTCATTTCCAAAGCTCGATTATTTGCATATCATGGCTCACGATTGGTCCCCCGATATTTTGCCCAACCTATACGACCGGTCAAACTTCAGCCTGGCATCTCTCCAACTCCGTTATATAGACTTGCGTTCAGAAGACCTCATCCTGTTCCTCAGAAATCTTCCCGATCTCGAAATACTCCATCTGTCGCATTGTGGCGTGGAGGATGCACTCTTCAGGGCGTTTACCTATGACCCCGGCAACCCGCTTCCCCCATTCGCACTTCGTCGGCTTGGCTCGTTAAGAATCATCGGAACCAGCGATGGCCTGAATGGCGCTAGGGTCGCCGATATGGCCGAGTCTATGCTCAGGCATAGTGGGGATCAGAGTGCTGCTTTCCCCGCACTTGTGACGGTTGATATGTACCTGGAAGGCCCGAGATTCGACGACGAGGTCGAGGATCGCCTCGAATTCGCATGCAATATTGGTTTCGTCAAAGATCATTCGACGCGGGAGTGAAGATTCCTATTCCGGTGTGTTCAAACTGATGAATCTGTGTCAAACCAATCTCATCATTGGCCAATAGCAGTAGACGCTGGGCAGAGTTTTTCTTGTTTTATTGAAATCTGTATGAAAATAATAGTAGGCCTTGACAGGGTGTCGATCGTCCTATGCAACAGACGGCCATTCGCCGAGATTTGCTCTGGTTTGAATTATCCCGGGTTCGCGAGGATGTGAAGAGGTTGGTGCTTGGTAGGTTCTGAGCGCTCGCCAACTCCTGAGTCATTTCAACCCGGAGCGACAAAGTACATTTCCTCCTCTAGTTGAGTTGCTCGGAGGGATTCAAGCTAGCAGCCAAGGAGTTATTCATGCTTTCGACGATCCTGCTCACACTGTGACAGTACTGGCAAACGTGCCATTCTTTTTTGTACCCTGACTGCAGTAACTATAATTATTTCTACTCCCGGTCCTTTCTAGCGGGTTTGTCCTGCACACTCGCGGTCGTGTGAGCCGCTGCGTTCGTGACCGTAATGGTCAAGGCACAGAGCGTCGCCGCACGTTTTTCGGTGCGGCCCGGACTCCGTCGATGGAATCAATGTCCCTCGAAGGTCACCGCGATCGTCGTGGTGAAGGGATACGACATGCGCGTTCCATTGCATAGCTTTGTACCGCCCGATTGCGAATCGAGGAAGCTACGTCCTCTTCGGGAGCATCTGCACCGTGCGCGTGCGCTGGATCTCAAGCCCCTGCATGCCGAAGTAACGCTGGCTCTGTGGATCGGACTGTTAGTCTGTGGACAGTCTCGGCAGGAAGTGAAACGAACCTCGAAGCTCCAGGCATCATTGGCGCGGACCCAGTTCCCAAGCCCGTCCGCGTAGGTTCGGACCTCGCGGTCAAGTGGGCCACCAAAGGTAGGAATGCTCTCCCAGAGTGCGAGGAACTCATCCACAATCTCGTCGTGGAGATCTGAAATCCAGTTCATTGCTTGCTGGAGGTTCATGTTGTACTGGTGCATCACTATTCTGACCAGGTTGTGTCCATCGTCGCCTCGCGCTTGCCTGCGAACAGTCTTAGTAAGGTTGAACCAAGTAATGTCCAGAAGATACTCACTCGACGTTCCAGGAGCAGAGGTCGTTCCCGATGATCAACGCGTCAATACACAAGTTTGTCAACTTGACGAGGATGGGATGTGTGATGACGTCGTCCGGGATGTTCATGTGGAGTTCGCAGATCGCGAAGGAGGGCTTGGCCCCGATCGTATCCCGGCGGACTTCAAAGTAGCTCTTGACGTCGCGGATCCGGCTCGAGTTCCTGTCATCGGCCTCCTGAACCACAGCATCCATATAAGATTGGAAGGTGTCGATGAAGCGGCGCTGAGAGGTGTGGGATGCCGTGCGGATCCCGTTGAGCCAAAATCTGGGATTTGCGTTAGCTAAATTGATCTGCGGCCAGATGGAGATGAACTTACTGCCGAGCGACTTCGCCGCCGATCCATTCAGTTTTCTGCGCGAGACTTGTACGGATTGCGGAGCGCATCCATCACGATGTCCGCTTGCTCGCGAGCGGTCTCCGTCGATGCCACATCGGTATGTTCGTCGATCACGAAGAAGAGATTCATCAAATCGCAACCAACTCGGCAGCCCTCTTTGTTCAGCAGAGGGTATGCTAGCGATGCAAGCAAGTCTTTTTGCAGAGCTATTCAATTTTTTTTCTGATCGAAATGGAATCACTCACTGAAATCGCAGAGGTTGAAGGCCTGTTGCGACTTGGAATCGAACGCGTTGAAAGCCTCGCACCAAGCCGAAGACTCCTTCTTGCATTCGGCATAGTATGGGTTGACCGCCCGGGCCCATGGCCAGGAGCGGAGGGTATCAGGGATGATCAGAGTAGTGTCGGACATCTTTGAAGTGGTAGTAGATGGCTGGAACGGATGTTGAATGCTGAGAGCAGTGGTGATGTTGGTTCGATTTCTTGCCTTGGTTTTATCGAACACTCGGGCGGGCGTGTCCCGCCACATGCGCTTGATCAGTATCATCCCTCGTAACAGTCGATCAGTCCTCCGCCCGCATCCTCGATATCTAATCAGAGTTGAATTCGTAGAACACCGGTGGGAAACCGGGATCCGCTACCCCTTTCGGCAACTTCCAGTTAAGCGTTGCCAGCACCCCGCCCGACGCCTCTGGACTGATGTAGATCTGATGGGAAACAAGGCAAGCCGCCTCGCCGCGGCGGCACCGCCCGGGTGAGCTGGATGTATGTATATTCTGACTTGTGCTGGTTTCGATGCTCCTTGCCGCCATCCTCCTCTGGCTCGAGCCTCTCGCCACTGCCCCGTGAAATCCACGATTAAGACCTTCTTTCGTGCGTGGAGGTCCTCCTATGTTCAACAAATGCTCGGTTCCTGTACCCCATTTCCTCCTGGGACCGGTTGAAGCATGTGGAGAGTTCGCAGTGGGTTGCCCAAAAAAAAAAAAGGTACGTGTTTGGTTCTTCTAAGAGAGGCTAATTTCCCTCGCCAATGCATGTTTTACATCGGGACTCCTCTTGCGAGCTCCGAAAACTTTCTTGATAACCCGACCTTGTCTTCTACGCACAGAAAATTACGCTTCCGAATGAAAGACCCCGTGGACTGCAGCAGGTTGCTTCGGAATTACCCGCAATTATTG